AACCCTCCCACGCCTTGCTGGCTTGGTAATAGGACCAGACAAGCGCAGCCACGTAACCTGACGGAAGAAAAGCGCTCGGAACGAGCGCTTCCACCCCCAAAACGCGGAAGGATCCGCACATGTGCAGGAAGTGCAGCGGGCGCTCTTCATTGGCGAGCGCTGATGACCGATGATGCTTGCAACCCTTTCACGCCCTTGCTGGCTTGGTAATAGGACCAGACAAGCGCAGCCACGTGACCCGACGGAAGAAAAATGCTCGGAACGAGCGCTTCCACCCCTAAAACGCGGAAGGAGCCGCACATATGTAGGAAGTGCAGCGAGCGCTCTTCATTCGCGAGCGCCGATGACCGATGATGCTTGCAACACTCCCACACCCTTGCTGGCTTGGTAATAGGACCAGCAAAGCGCAGCGACGTGACCAGGTGGAAGAAAGACGCTCGGAACGAACGCTTCCACCCCCAAAATGAGGAAGGACTCGCACATGTGCAGGAAGTGCAGCTGGCGCTCTTCATTCGCGAGCGCCGATGACAGATGCTGCTTACAACCCTCCCACGCCCTTGCTGGCTTGGTATTAGGACCAGATAAGTGCAACCACGTGACCCGGCGGAAAACAAACTCTCGGAACGAGCGCTTCCACCCCCAACGCGGAAGGAGCCGCACATGTGCAGGAAGTGCAGCGGGCGCTCTTCATTCGCGAGCGCCAATGACCAATGATACTTGCAACCCTCCCACGCCATTGCTGGCTTGGTAATAGGACCAGATAAGCACAGCCATGTGACCCAGCGGAAGAAAAACGCTCGGAACGAGCGCTTCCACCCCAAAATGCGGAAGGATCCGCACATGTGCAGGAAATACAGCGGGCGCTCTTCATTCGCGAGCACCGCCGATGACCGATGATGCTTGCGACCCTCCCACACCCTTGCTGGCTGGGTAATAGGACCAGACAAGCGCAGCCACGTGACCCGGCGGAAGAAAAACGCTCGGAACGTGCGCATCCACCCCCAAAACGCGGAAGGATCCGCACATGTGCAGGAAGTGCAGCGGGCACTCTTCATTCGCGAGCACCGATGACCGATGATGCTTGCAACCCTTGCAAGACCTTGCTAGCTTGGTAATAGGACCAGACAAGCGCAGCCACGTGACCCGGTGGAAGAAAAACGATTGAAACGAGCGCTTCCACCCCCAAAACGCGGAAGGACCCGCACATGTGCAGGAAGTGCAGCGGGCGCTCTTCATTCGCGACCACCGATGACCGATGATGCTTGCAACCCTCTCACGCCCTTGATGGCTTGGTAATAGAACCAGACAAGCGCAGCCACGTGACCCGGCGGAAGAAAAACGCTCGAAACGAGCGCTTCCAACCCCAAAACGCGGAAGAATCCGCGCATGTGCAGGAAGTGCAGCGGGCGCTCTTCATTCGCGAGCGCCGATGACCGATGATGCTTGCAACCCTCTCACACCCTTCCTAGGACCAGAAAAGCGCAGCCACGTGACCCGGCGGAAGAAAAACGCTCGCAACGAGCGCTTCCACCCCCAAAACGCGGAAGGATACGCACTTGTGCAGGAAGTGCAGCGGGCGCTCTTCATTCGCGAGCGCAGATGACCGCTGATGCTTGCCACCCTCCCACGCCTTTGCTGGCTTGGTAATAGGACCAGAAATGCGCAACCACGTAACCCGGCGGAAGAAAAATGCTCGGAACGAGCGCTTCCACCCCCAAAACGCGGAAGGATCCGCACATGTGCAGGAAGTGCAGCCGGCGCTCTTCATTCGCGAGCGCAGATTACCGATGATGCTTGCCACCCTCCCACGCCCTTGCTGGCTTGGTAATAGGACCAGAAAAGCGCAGCCACGTGATATGGCGGAAGAAAAACGCTCGGAACGAGCACTTCCACCCCCAAGGATCCGCACATGCGCAAGAAGTGCAGCGGGCGCTCTTCATTCGCGAGCGCCGATGACCGATGATGCTTGCAACCCTCCCACGCCCTTGCTGGCTTGGTAATAGGACCAGACAAGCGCAGCCACGTAACCCAGCGGAAGAAAAACGTTCGAAACGAGCGCTTCTACCCCCAAACCTCGGAAGGGTCCGCACATGTGCAGGAAGTGCAGCGGACGCTCTTCATTCGCGAACGCCGATAACCGATGATGCTTGCAACCCTCCCACGCCCTTGCTGGCTTGGAAATAGGACCAGACAAGCGCAGCCACGTGACTCGGCAGAAGAAAAACGCTCAGAACGAGCGCTTCCACCCCCAAAACGTAGAAGGACCTGCACATGTGCAGGAAGTGCATCGTGCACTCTTCATTCGCGAGCGCCGATGACCGATGATGCTTGCAACCCTCCCACGCCCTTGCTGGCTTGGTAATAGGACCAGACAAGCGCAACACATCAGCCGGCGGAAGAAGAACGCTCGGAACGAGCGCTTCCACCCCCAAAACGCGGAAGGACCCGGACATGTGCAGGAAGTGCAGCAGGCGCTCTTCATTCGCGAGCGCCGATGACCGATGATGCTTGTGACCCCCCCCATGCCCTTGCTGGCTTGGTAATAGGACCACACAAGTGCAGCCACGTGACCCGGCGGAAGAAAAACGCTCGGAACGAGCGCTTCAACCCCCAAAACCCGGAAGGATCCGCACATGTGCATGAAGTGCAGCGGGCGCTCTTCATTCGCGAGCGCCGATGACCGATGATGCTTGCAACCCTCCCACGACCTTGCTGGCTTGGTAATAGGACCAGAAAAGCGCAGCCACGCTACCCGGCAGAAGAAAAACGCTCTGAATGAGCGCTTTCACCCCCAAAACGTGGAAGGATCCGCACATGTGCAGGAAGTGCAGTGGGCGCTCTTCATTCGCGAGCGTCAATGACCGATGATGATTGCGACTCTCCCACGCCCTTGCTGGCTTGGTAATAGGACCAGACGCGCGCAGCCACGTGACTCGGCGGAAGAAAAACGCTTCGAACGAGCTCTTCCACCCCCAAAACGCGGAAGGAGCGTGCAGTGGGCGCTCTTCATTCGCGAGGGCCGATGATTGATGATGCTTGCGACCCTCCCACGCCCTTTCTGGCTTGGTAATAGGACCAGACAAGCGCACCCACGTGACTCAGCGGAAAAAAAACGCTGGGAACAAGAGCTTCCACCCCCAAAACGCGAAAGGATCCACACATGTGCAGGAAGTGCAGCGTGCGCTCTTCATTCGCGAGCGCCGATGACCAATGATGCTTGCAACCCTCCCACGCCTTTGCTGGCTTGGTGATAGGACCAGACAAGTGCAGCCATGTAACTCGGCGGAAGAAAAACACTCGGAACGAGCGCTTCCACCCCCAAACCACGGAAGGATCCGCACATGTGCAGGAAGTGCAGCAGGCGCTCCTCATTCGCGAGCGTCGATGACCAATGATGCTTGCAACCCTCCCACGCCCTTGCTGGCTTGGTAATAGGTCAAGAAAAGCGCAGCCATGTGACCCGGCGGAAGAAAGACGCTCCGAACGAGCGCTTCCACCCCCAAAACGCAGAAGGATCCGCACATGTGCAGGATGTGCACCGGTCGCTCTTCATTCGCGAGCGTCGATCACCGATGATGCTTGCAACCCTTCCACGCCCTTGCTGGCTTGGTAATAGGACTAGACAAGCGCAGCCACTTGACCCGGCGGAAGAAAAACGCTCAGAACGAGTGCTTTCACCCCCAAAACGCGGAAGGATCCGCACATGTGCAGGAAGTGCAGTCGGCGCTCTTCATTCGCGAGCGTCGATGACCGATGATGATCACGACCCTCCCACGCCCTTACTGGCTTGGTAATAGGACCAGACACGCGCAGCCACGTGACTCGGCGGAAGAAAAACGCTCCGAACGAGCTCTTCCACCCCCAAAACGCGGAAGGAGCATGTAGCGGGCGCTCTTCATTCGCGAGGACCGATGACCGATGATACTTGCGACCCTCCCACGCCCTTGCTGGCTTGGTAATAGGATCAGACAAGCGCAGACACGTGACCCGGCGGAAGAAAAACGGTCCGAACGAGCGCTTCCACCCCCAAAACGCGAAAGGATCCGCTCATGTGCAGGAAGTGCTGCGGGCGCTCTTCATTCGCGAGCGCCGCCGATGTGCGATGATGCTTGCAACCCTCCCACGCCATTGCTGGCTTGGTAATAGGACAGGACAAGCACAGCCACGTGATCCGGCGGAAGAAAAACGCTCGCAACGTGCGCTTCCACCCCCAAAACGCGGAAGGATCCGCACATGTGCAGGAAGTGCAGCGGGCGCTCTTCATTCGCGAGCGCTGGTGATCGATGATGCTTGCAACCATCGCACGCCCTTGATGGCTAGGTAATAGGACCAGACAAGCACACCCACGTGACCCGGCGGAAGAAAAACGCTCGGAACGAGCGCTTCCACCCCCAAAACGCTGAAGGATCCGCACATGTGCATGAAGTGCAGCGGGCGCTCCTCATTCGCGAGCGCCGATGACCGATGATGCTTGCAACTGTCCCACGCCCTTGCTGGCGTGGTATTAGGACCAGAAAAGCACAGCCACGTGACCCGGCGGAAGAAAAAGGCTCGCAACGAGCGCTTCCACCCCCAGAACGTGGAAGGATCCGCACATGTGCAGGAAGTGTAGCAGACGCTCTTCATTCACGAGGGCCGATTACCGATGATGCTTTCAACCCTCCCGCGCCCTTGGTGGCTTGGTAATAGGACCAGACAAGCGCATCCACGTGACCCGGCGGAAGAAAAACGCTCGTAACGAGCGCTTCCACCCCCAATCCGCGTAAGGATCTCCACATATCAAGGAAGTGCAACGTGCGCTCTTTATTCGCGAGCGCCGAAGACCGATGATGCTTGCGACCCTCCCACGCCCTTGGTGGCTTGGTAATAGGACCAGACAAGCGCAGCCACGTGGCCCGGCGGAAGAAAAATGCACGGAACGAGCGCTTCCACCCCCAAAACGAGCAAGGATCCGCACATGTGCAGGAAGTGAAGCGGGCGCTCTTCATTCGCGAGCGCCGATGACCGATGATGCTTTCAACCCTCCCACGCCCTTGCTGCCTTGGTAATAGGACCAGAAAACGTAGCCACGTGACTTGGCGGAAGAAAAACGCTCGGAACGAGCGCTTTGACCCCTGAAACGCGGAAGGACCCGCACATTGTCAAAACACTATCGTAGCTGGTAACCGGGTTTAAGGAGGGCCTAGGCTTAGTAGCCTAGGCCAAGCTATTGTCGAGGTCAAGGCCAAGGGAGTGTCGAGAGAAATTGACCAAACAAGTTAGCTTCACTAAAGCAAAGCATACAAGATATAGTCGAGAAACACAAACAAGACAGCAAAGAACAATAACTACAGTAACTACTGCAAGCAGGATATATCTTAAATATAACTTTGGCACACCCCCTTAGCCTGCTTGCAGTAGGAACTAGAGTAGTCAACACCCCCTGAAGGGGTATAGCTGGCGCAGTGGGAGACGGCAGAGGGGTTCGTGAGGGGAGGCGGCGAGAGGGAGAGAGGAGAGGAGAGGAGATGAGAACACAGGAGGAGGTGAGTGAGGGATGAGGAGAGGAGGTGGGGGGGTGGCCGGGGCGTCCCCTCTTACTAACCCCCTTTTACGAAAGGGGGGTTGAGTGGGGGATGAGGAGAGGAGGTGGGGGGGTGGCTGCAGCGTCCCCTCTTACTAACCCCCACATCCCCACCCCCAATCAACCACCCTCCTTCAACCTCACCCCCCATTTCAGCCGCCCCCTGGAATCGCACCCCCTCCCTCCCTTCCTTCCTCCACACCCCTGCCCCACTCACAGTTGTCTCTGCCCTGTCCTTCACACGGCAGCCAGCCCTCCCACCCCCTGTCCCTGCCACCCACCCCCCACAGTAGCAGCCGCGGGAGGGGAGAGGCAGGGCAGAGGGTGGTGCTTTGCTGGCGGGGTGCTCTGCTGGCGGGGTTCTCTACTGGCGGGGTTCTCTGCTGGCGGGGTTCTCTGCTGGCGGGGTTCTCTGCTGGCGGGGTTCTCTGCTGGCGGGGTTCTCTGCTGGCGGGGTTCTCTGCTGGCGGGGTTCTCTGCTGGCGGGGTTCTCTGCTGGCGGGGTTCTCTGCTGGCGGGGTTCTCTGCTGGCGGGGTTCTCTGCTGGCGGGGTTCTCTGCTGGCGGGGTTCTCTGCTGGCGGGGTTCTCTGCTGGCGGGGTTCTCTGCTGGCGGGGTTCTCTGCTGGCGGGGTTCTCTGCTGGCGGGGTTCTCTGCTAGTTGGGTGCTCTGCTGGCGGGGTGCTCTGCTGGCGGGGTTCTCTGCTGGCGGGGTTCTCTGCTGGCGGGGTTCTCTGCTGGCGGGGTGCTCTGCTGGCGGGGTTCTCTGCTGGCGGAGTTCTCTGCTGGCGGGGTTCTCTGCTGGCGGGGTTCTCTGCTGGCGGAGTTCTCTGCTGGCGGGGTTCTCTGCTGGCGGGGTTCTCTGCTGGCGGGGTTCTCTGCTGGCGGGGTTCTCTGCTGGCGGGGTGCTCGGCTGGCGTCTGGTCCTGGTGCCAGGTGCTGGCGTGACGGCGCTGGTGCCGGTGCTGGTGACTGGCTTCGGTGCTGGTGCCTGGTGCTGGCGGCTGGCGCTGGTGCTGTTCCGCCGCCACTCCCTTCCCCCTTTTCCTCTCTCCCCCACAGCATTCCGCCGCCACTCCCTTCCCCCTGTCCCTCTCCGCCCCACAGCGTTCCGCCGCCAATCCCTTCCCTTCCTCCCTCTCCCACCCACAGCGACCGCCGCTGCACACGCGAACAGTTGCGACGGGGGGGGGGTGACGAGAAGGGGGCCGGGGAAATGCGATGGGCGGAGCGAGGCGACGGGAAGGAAGAAAACGGGACAGGGGGGAAAGGGCCGGGACGACCGCCACCCTCGCCGTCCCCTTCATTCCCGATGCCGTCCCCGTCATTCCCGATGCCGTCCCCCCCCCCTTCCCCACTCTCGCGCAAACTCGGCGGTAGGCGTAGGCGCGGGCAGAGGTGGTGAGGGTGGTGAAATGCGACGGGCTGACGACGAGGGAAACACGACGGGCTGGCGACGGGGGAAACGCGACGGGCTGGCGACGGGGGAAACGCGACGGGCTAGCGACGGGGGGAAAACGCGACGGGCTGGCGACGGGCAGGCGACGAGGGAAAAAAAGCGACGGGCTGGTGACGAGGGAAACGCGGCCGGCTCGCCGCCGCGCCCGTCGCAGCGAGCGCCGTGCCACGAATGGGTGGGCCCATTAACATAGGTCAGGAACTTAATCGCTCTATACCATGTCAAAACACTATCGTAGCTGGTAACCGGGTTTAAGGAGGGCCTAGGCTTAGTAGCCTAGGCCAAGCTATTGTCGAGGTCAAGGCCAAGGGAGTGTCGAGAGAAATTGACCAAACAAGTTAGCTTCACTAAAGCACAGCATGCAAGATATAGTCGAGAAACACAAAAAAGAGGTGCACCACCAACAGCAAAGAACAATAACTACAGTAACTACAGCAAGCAGGATATATCTTAAATATAACTTTGACACGCATGTGCAGGAAGTGCAGCGAGCGCTCTTCATTCACGAGCGCCGATGACCGATGATGCTTGCAACCCTCCCACGCCCTTGCTGGCTTGGAAATAGGACCAGACCAGCACAGCTACGTGACCCGGCGGTAGAAAAACGCTCGGAACTAGCGCTTTCACCCCCAAAACGCGTAAGGATCCGCACATGTGCAGGAAGTGCAGCGGGCGCTCTTCATTTGCGAGCGCCGATGTCTGATGATGCTTGCAACCCTCCCACGCCCTTGCTGGCTTGGTAAAAGGACCAGACAAGCACAGCTACGTGACCCGGCGGTAGAAAAACGCTCAGAACTAGCGCTTTTACCCCCAAAACGCGGAAGGATCCGCACATGTGCAGGAAGTGCAGCAGGCGCTCTTCATTCGCGAGCGCCGATGACCGATGATGCTTGCAACCCTCCCACGCCCTTGCCAGCTTGGTAATAGGACCAGACAAGCGCAACCTTGTGACCTGGCAGAAGAAAATCACTCGAAACGAGCGCTTCCACCCCCGAAATGCGGAAGGATCTGCACATGTGAAGGAAGTGCAGCGGGCGCTCTTCATTCGCGAGCGCCGATGACCGATGATACTTGCGACCCTCCCACGCCCTTGTTGGCTTGGTAATAGGACTAGACAAGCGCAGCCACGTGACTCGGCAGAAGAAAAACGCTCGTAACGAGCGCTTCCATTCCCAAACACGGAAGGATTGGCACATGTGCAGAAAGTGCAGCGGGCACTCTTCATTCGCGAGCGCCGATGACCGATGATGCTTGCAACCCTTGCACGCCCTTGCTGGCTTGGTATTAGGACCATAAAAGCGGAGCCGCGTGACCCAGCAGAAGATAAACGCTCGCAACGAGCGCTTCCACCCCCAGAACGCGGAAGGATCCGCACATGTGCAGGAAGTGTAGCAGGCGCTCTTCATTCGCGAGCGCCGATGACCGATGATGCTTTCAACCCTTCCACGACCTTGGTGGCTTGGTAATAGGACCAGACAAGCGCAGCCACATGACCCGGCGGAAGAAAAACGCTCGCAACGAGCACTTCCACCCCCAAAACACGAAAGGATCCTCACATGTGCAGGAAGTGAAGCAGGCGCTCTTCATTCGCAAGCGCCGATGACCGATGATGCTTTCAACCTTACCACGCCCTTGGTGGCTAGGTAATAGGACCAGACAAGCGCAGCCATGGACCCGGCGGAAGAAAAACGCTCGGAACTAGTGCTTCCACCCCCAAAACGCGGAAGGATCCGCACATGTGCAGAAAGTGCAGCGGGCGCTCTTCATTCGCGAGCGCCGATGACCGATGATGCTTGCAACTCTCCCACGCCCTTGCCAGCTTGGTAATATGATCAAACAAGCGCAGCCACGTGACCTGGCGGAAGAAAAACGCTTGTAACGAGCGCTTCCATCCCCAAAACGAGGAAGGATCCGCACATGTGCAGGAAGTGCAGCGGGCGCTCTTCATTCGCGAGCGTCGACGACCGATGATGCTTGCAACACTCCCACGCCCTTGCTGCCTTGGTAATAGGACCAGACAAGCGCAGCCACATGACCCGGTGGAAGAAAAACGCTGGGAGAATGGGGCAGGGTGATGGAAAGCGGGAGAATGGGGCGGGGTGTGGAAAGAGGGAGAATGGGGCGGGGTGATGGAAAGAGGGAGAATGGGGCGGGGTGATGGAAAGCGGGAGAATGGGGCGGGGTGATGGAAAGCGGGAGAATGGGGCGGGGTGATGGAAAGCTGGAGAATAGGGCGGGGTGACGGAAAGCGGGAGAATGGGGCGGGGTTAAGGAAAGAGGGAGAATGGGGCGGGGTGATGGAAAGAGGGAGAATGGGGCGGGGTGATGGAAAGCGGGAGAATGGGGCGGGGTGATGGAAAGAGGGAGAATAGGGCGGGGTGATAGAAAGAGGGAGAATGAGGCGGGGTGATGGACAGAGGAAGAATGGGGCGGGGTGACAGAAAGCGGGAGAATGGGGCGTGGTGATGGAAAGCGGGAGAATGGGGCGGGGTGATGGAAAGAGGGAGAATGGGGCAGGGTGATGGAAAGCGGGAGAATGGGGAGGGGTGATGGAAAGCGGGAGAATGGGGAGGGGTGATGGAAAGCGGGAGAATGGGGCGGGGTGATGGAAAGTGGGAGAATGTGGCGGGGTGATGGAAAGCGGGAGAATGGGGCGGGGTGCTGGAATGCGGGAGAATGGGGCGGGGTGATGGAAAGCGGGAGAATGGGGCGGGGTGATGGAAAGCGGCAGAATGGGGCGGGTGATGGAAAGCGGGAGAATGGGGCGGGGTGCTGGAAAGCGGGAGAATGGGGCGGGGTGATGGAAAGAGGGAGAATGGGGCGGGGTGATGGAAAGAGGGAGAATGGGGCGGGGTGATGGAAAGAGGGAGAATGGGGTGGGGTGATGGACAGAGGGAGAATGGGGCGGGGTGACGGAAAGCGGGAGAATGGGTCTGGGTGATGGAAAGCGGGAGAATGGGGCGGGTGATGGAAAGCGGGAGAATGGGGTGGGGTGATGGAAAGAGGGAGAATGGGGCAGAGTGATGGAAAGCGGGAGAATGGGGCGGGGTGATTGAAAGAGGGAGAATGGGGCGGGGTGATGGAAAGAGGGAGAATTGGCCGGGGTGATGGAAAGAGGGAGAATATGGCGGGGTGATAGAAAGCGGGAGAATAGGGCGGGGTGATGGAAAGACGGAGAATGGGGCGGGGTGATGGAAAGAGGGAGAATGGGGCGGGGTGATGGAAAGAGGGAGAACGGGGCGGGTGATGGAAAGCGGGAGAATGGGGCGGGGTGATTGAAAGAGGGAGAATGGGGCGGGGTGATGGAAAGAGGGAGAATTGGCCGGGGTGATGGAAAGAGGGAGAATATGGCGGGGTGATAGAAAGCGGGAGAATAGGGCGGGGTGATGGAAAGACGGAGAATGGGGCGGGGTGATGGAAAGAGGGAGAATGGGGCGGGGTGATGGAAAGAGGGAGAACGGGGCGGGTGATGGAAAGCGGGAGAATGGGGCGGGGTGATGGAAAGTGGGAGAATGGGGCGGGGTGATGAAAAGCGGGAGAATGGGGCGGGGTGATGGAAAGCGGGAGAATGGGGCGGGTTGATGGAAAGAGGGAGAATGGGGCGGGGTGATGGAAAGAGGGAGAATGGGGCGGGGTGAAGGAATGCGGGAGAATGGGGTGGGGTGATGGAAAGCGGGAGAATGGGGCGGGGTGATGGAAAGAGGAAGAATAGGGCGGGGTGATAGAAAGAGGGAGAATGAGGCGGGGTGTTGGACAGAGGAAGAATGGGGCGGGGTGACAGAAAGCGAGAGAATGGGGCGTGGTGATGGAAAGCGGGAGAATGGGGCGGGGTGATGGAAAGAGGGAGAATGGGGCAGGGTGATGGAAAGCGGGAGAATGGGGAGGGGTGATGGAAAGCGGGAGAATGGGGCGGGGTGATGGAAAGCGGGAGAATGGGGCGGGGTGATGGAAAGCGGGAGAATGTGGCGGGGTGATGGAAAGAGGGAGAATGGGGCGGGGTGATGGAAAGCGGGAGAATGGGGCGGGGTGATGGAAAACGGGAGAATGGGGCGGGGTGATGGAAAGCGGGAGAATGGGGTGGGGTGATGGAAGGCGGGAGAATCGGGCGGGGTGATGGAAAGCGGGAGAATGGGGCGGGGTGCTGGAAAGCGGGAGAATGGGGCGGGGTGATGGAAAGAGGGAGAATGGGGCGGGGTGATGGAAAGAGGGAGAATGGGGCGGGGTGATGGAAAGAGGGAGAATGGGGTGGGGTGATGGACAGAGGGAGAATGGGGCGGGGTGATGGAAAGCAGGAGAATGGGGCGGGGTGATGGAAAGCGGGAGAATGGGGCAGGGTGATGGAAAGCGGGAGAATGGGGAGGGGTGATGGAAAGCGGGAGAATGGGGCGGGGTGATGGAAAGCGGGAGAATGGGGCGGGGTGATGGAAAGCGGGAGAATGTGGCGGGGTGATGGAAAGCGGGAGAATGGGGCGGGGTGCTGGAATGCGGGAGAATGGGGCGGGGTGATGGAAAGCGGGAGAATGAGGCGGGGTGATGGAAAGCGGGAGAATGAGGTGGGGTGATGGAAAGCGGGAGAATGGGGCGGGTGATGGAAAGCGGGAGAATGTGGCGGGGTGATGGAAAGAGGGAGAATGGGGCGGGGTGATGGAAAGCGGGAGAATGGGGCGGGGTGATGGAAAACGGGAGAATGGGGCGGGGTGATGGAAAGCGGGAGAATGGGGTGGGGTGATGGAAGGCG